GAGAGAGAGAGAGAGAGAGAGAGAGAGAGAGAGAGAGAGAGAGAGAGAAGGAGACAGACCTCCCTGTGTGCTGGGGCCATGCTAATCTTCTTTGTATTGGGTGGGAACGGGTCGTGCACCCGTCCGCCATGGGGTGTGGGTTTCTGGTTGGTGTGGGTCGCCTCAGCAGGGATTGTCAGGTTTTTCCAAAAGCCAGCGATAAGTGCTTATTTTCTTCCGCAGAAGCTATGTTAGCACTCTCCAGAGAGGCCCGTCGCGGAAGAGAGATCCAGGTCCTCCAAGAGGCGGGTGAGATTCCATGAGAACAGGCATCTTCCTTTGGGTGACAATGAGCACAGAAGACCTTAGCACTTGACCCTGGCCATCGCAGGTCCTCCGATCTCCTGAGGAAAAGAAGGAAGTCTCACACAACTGCTGACAGTCTCCTTGTTGCAGCATCTCTCCTCTGGGGCTCGAGGAAGAGAGCTCTGGAGAGATGGAGCATGGAGACACTGCTGTGCAGTCCCACCATGGCGAGCCCTGTAGCTTTGAATTGCTAGATCAACAACCGTTCCTAGGATTACAGTTCCGGAGCACAGAGAGGATCCGTACACTGCTAAGGAAGGTGTCAAGACTGAAGATCATTCCCGAACGGTTGTTGTCTGAGGTGAACCGATGCATCTCAAGTGCGGATGGAGATCCGATCCCATTTTCAGTTCTCAGAGATGCTTGCACGCTGTTGAAGGAAAGGGAAAGGGGGCGATGTCATCAGGGCTCAGCAACCACGAACAATGGGTTCTTCGTTCATGAAGTCTTGGCTGGGAGTGGGTTGGCTCTACCAATCCCGAAGCCGAGGAACAAGAGTGCAGAGCTTCGGCAGCGACTTGCTCGTCTTCAAGAGGCAGCAGATGCGCGCTCCTACGAGGAGCTTGTCAAGGATGTCACAAAGAATGAAAGGGCTCAGAAGGAGAAGGAGTTTTTCTCATCCTACAAGGACCAGCTTGGATTCGGTCTGCATGTGATTGTGACAATGTTCACTGGCTACGCGTTTGGGCACATGCTCTTCAGGTCTCAGTTTCACAATGACCCAGCGATGAATGCTGCAGGTGGAACGCTTGGGTTGATTGCAGGCATGCTCATTGAGACCCTTTTGTTCATAATCCAGGCATCCAGGATCAGCTGATGATCATTATGATCATGGTGATGTTGCTTAAGATGTTGGTTAAGTAATCATGTCTCTCTCTCTCTCTCTCTCTCTCTCTCTCTCTCTCTCTCTCTCTCTCTCTCTCTC